GAGACTGAGAGCCAGGGAGGGGACCTGAGCGGGGGGGGCTTGGAGTGGTTGATAAAAACGCAAAATATCCAGGGTAGAAACAGGTCGTTTTGGGGGTGGAACCCCGCGCTGGCTGCATTGATCACAGTGGGCCTGGCCTGGAGAGGACAGCAGCGAGGAAAAGGCAGAGAGCATCCTGACACCCCTGCCAGTCAAACCAGTTCGGGCTATTTATTGGCCATTGGCCTATAAACACCAATAGCCACGGGAATAATACAGCCCCGCCCCCTTCTGGCCTCCCCAGAGCTAGCCAGGAGCCCTGGCCTCCCTCTTTGGACAGGAGACTGACAAATTTGTTAATGGAATAAATCTACCTAGCTAAAGTGTCTGGAGACAGACAGACAGACAGACATTGCACTGAAGCCAGCAACACATTTTTAATCTCCAAAGAAACCTGGCCGCTGCCTCACAAGCTTTTTGCATTGTAGGAAGGGATTGTAGGGGCATATTTGCTCAAATGCAATGAGCATTTATAACCCAAACAGGATTTCAGTGCATACACACACCACGTACACACGAATATATAGAGTCACATACAGTGTTATATATACAGATACACACACACACATCATAAATGGTGCCCTTGTTTACTATAGCGGGGGGAGGCAGAGTGGAGAGAATCCCCCCCCCCCCCTTGAGATGAAGGCCTGGAGTCCAATCAGCCCAGAGCAGAGGTTTTTAGGTTAGGAGCTCAGAGCTTTTCCACTTCCAAACGCTTAGTTAATGCCCTGTTAAATGCAGAGTCCTAATGAGAAGCTAAATCTATCCCAGTGTGTTCACACCCCCAACGCACCACTCCCGGTGTTGGTTGTGTGAGGCTCTCAATGAAGCGACCCATCTGGGGTACATTCAAGCGAGTTTAATACCTGGCTTTCCCCCCACTCCGGAGTTTGGGAATTATGATGAAAAGGCAGGAGACACAGGGGGGGGGGGGGCATTAAAGGGAAGGAAGGGGGTGAAGAGAAAGAGGATGGCAAACGCAGCAGAGCCAGTGGAATCTTCCATGGGGAGAAAGCCCCCAGCACACGGGGGCTGGATTTTAGATGCAAAGTGACAATAAATAATCCCAGTGACAGGCTCCCAGATGCACCTTGTCCCTAGGGAACCCCGAAGACCCTTGTGCAGGGCAGCCCAGGGACCCCCAGTCCTGGCTACCTGCACACCCAGACATATTGCACCAGCCCTGCCTGTCACCCAGCGCCCCTCCCGCAGCACAGAGAAGGGAACCCACGTTGGGGGAGGGGGGGGGGGACACCGCATTCTGCGCAAATATGTTGTGACATGTCAAAAGGGGGCATGTTTTGATAAACACGCAATTAGTGCCAGAATCCTGCAGCTGGCAGCCAGGCCCGCGAACAGCGGCTCTGCGCGCCAATAGGATCCGGATTTGCAAACGCAACCTTAAGTGATCATTAGGGCCGCTGTTTGGTGTGTGTGTGTGTGTGCTGGGCCTGCGGGATGGAATAACTCAGGGCCTTGGGAAAGGGAGGCTGGCTCCGGGGGTTGGCTGAGGAGGGCCCGGGATGCAGGGCCGAAGCGCTGGGGCTTTTCCTTTGCCTTCCAATGGGAAACCGGCTGGCTGAGGTTTGACTTTTTTGATTGTTGTGTAAAGGGCAGGCCCGTGTGTGTGTGTTCCTGGCGGCACAGAGCAAATCGAGTGTGGGCTCCCAGCTCCTACACTTGGGGGTTCACATTCTTCGGGCCCAACAGGCCGTGTTCTTTCCCCGAGGAGGGGATTCACAGCTGCCCCCACTGCCCCAAGTCCAGCACAAAGTCATCAAAAAAAAAGGACCCCCCAATCCCCCGTTTTTGCCCGGTGTTTCTCGCTAAGGTGTTTGCAGGGAGTTAAGGCTACCTCCTGCTCCATCTCCCACTGCAACTGGGAGCAAAGAGAGGGAGCCAGAATCCCCATTGAAAAGACACTGGGGAAAATCCAGAGGGCTGGAGAGGAGTGGTGCTACCGAGCAGCCTGTCCCCTCAATGCAAACCAGCCCTAGGTAATCGGTGGCTGGGGAGGCCTTGGCAGACTTACAGCCCGGAGAAGGGGCCGGAGCTCCTGGCTTTCTCTTCAAACACTTTTGTTTTGGACTTTTAGCTGCCCCCCAGGCTGGGGGGGGGAGGACGGGGGGGGGGGGCGGTACAGGCAGGGCCTGGAGGGAGCAGCCAGGACTGGAAGCCCCCTCCTGCCTTATCTGCTCACACAGCATCGGAAAGTGTGTGTGTGTGGGGGGGGTAACTGTGTGTGTCTGTGTGTGTGTGTCTCTGATTTGCACGGACTGTTGACAAGGCTAAAAGCTGGTGGACAGACACACACGCCTGCACCCAGCGGCCGCGCGGGGGGACCAGGCTGCGCATCCATTAGGAATGGCTTTTTAAAACCACAACCCAGAGAAAGAAATGCTTTTAGGGAAGCCGAGCGCGGCTGATCTCTCGCAGGAGCCTCCTTCTCCCCCCAGCAGCGGGGCGCGGGGCCCCCCAGCCCTGCCTGCCCCGGGCCCGGCTGTTAGCTCTGACGGGCCTTTCCAAGGGGAGCCGCTGGAGAAAAGCGGGGAGCTTTGCTTTTTTCTATCCCGACCCCCGAAAACGGGGGGTGGGGGAGGCGAGAGAATCAGCCCCACAACCCCCCGAGCGAGCTCCGCCTTTGCACCCAGTGGAGGGGGAAGGCCCCATCCCCAAGCTCGCCTTGGGAAGGCGGGTTCCTTCCCCCCTGGCAGCCCAGGGCGCCGCGGCCCTGCAGCTCCGAGCAGAGCCCGGCGGTTGGGTTTCCTCGGAGCCCCGGGTTTTGTTGTGCAACTTGCCGAGAACCGCGCTGGCTCTGCGGTGCCAGGCCGGAGCCGTGTCGGCTGCAGGCTCCATTTCCCCTCCGGCCCCGGAGAGCCCCTTCCCCGGCGATGCAGAACCCGCGAGCCCCCGCCTCCCCCAGCGGAGAACGCGCCCCGGCCCGCCGGCCAGGGACCCCCGAGAGCTCCCCGCGCCACCCGGGAGCAGGCGCTCGCCCCGCCGGCCATCTTCCCTGCCCGTCCCCGCTCTGCCCCCCAGCCTCCTTCGTCCTCCCCATCCCCCGCGAGCCTGGGGCCGGGAACCCGCCTCCCGCTCCATTTCCGGGCCTTTCCATCCGCGGCGCAAAGGGGCTGCGAGCCAGGGGGTCGGGTTCCCCCGCCTAGCCTGGGACCCACCGGCCACAGAAACCCCGCGTTGGGTTTGTTAGATCAGAGGCATCCCCCTGCCCTGAACCAGCCCCCAGCCCCCTCGATGCGCTTTTCTAAACGCACTAAAAATGTCCTGGCTTGTTTCTTGGATTTAACACAACAACAACAACAACAAAAGCCAAGCAAACCCGAGCCCGCCTGCGTGTTGTCTTAACGAGCCCGGCGCGGCTCAGTCTCCTGCCCTCTCTTTGCAACCGAATTTCACCGAGCACAAGAGGAGAACGGGGAAGAGACAAACGCTAAAAATACCGCGTCTAAGCGAACCCCTCTCGAAATGCCGCTTGAGGCAGAGAAGGCGGGTGTGTGAGCCGCTTCCCGTGAGCGGAACCCGAAGCTTTCCTCCTGGCAGCTCGGGCTTTCACTACCTCTTTTGTTAACAGAAAAGTCGATCACTTTAATTAAAAATCGTTACATAAATCTATTTTTTACTAGCACAAATATACTTTCTACACTGAATTTGCAGGACATCGATATAAACTTTAGTGGCAGATTCCAGCGATCAGTTTCCTTGAAGAAAACAGAAACAAAAGATTGGGGAGTCGGGGCGGGATCTTTAGGGCGCCCAGGAAAGCACAATAATCCTATTTTACTTCTTCCTTTTGAGAAGTCATTTTAGTCCCATCTGGGCGGTAATTTTAGATTGTTTTAAAAGCGCGGATAATTGTATTTATTTGTCATTAGTTTTCCAGTGTTGGACAGAAACAAAGCTGTGTTTTTCCTTGGGTATAAAGCAGCTATTTAGCCAGTACATTGGGAGCTTAAAAATAGATGTGCAACGATTGGTTTTAAAGTGCAGATTTTACAGGTCCAATATCAGATTTGTGTTTGTATGAAGCCGGGATTTGCTGCCTGTTTTAACCTGTCCTGGCTGTTTTCGGATGCAATCATTAAATACAGGCTTTAACACTAGCAGTGCCTACCTCGTGTTTTCCTTGCTCGCTGTAAATCTATTTGCAAAGGAAACCTGGAGACACGATCTATTTTGTTCTATCGATTTATTTTTGCAAAGTCTCGCTGGGCTTTTAAAAGTACAAAGACGAAAATAATTATTAAAAAAATAATGAAATCAAGAATTAAAAATCACAGCCGGGAATGTTATTTGCAGAAGAAGAAGAAAAAAAAAAATTCTCTCCTCTCTCAACAACAAAAAATGTCCGCTTTAAGTGAGTTTTGCTTTAAGCCCAGCCTGCAAATTGCAAAAAAAGAGACTCTCCAGGCCAGATTGCAGGGCTAAAAACCCCCCCAAATGTCAACTACGTGCTAAAGACAAAGGTTAAGTCGGGACCAGGCTCATTCGGCGGCGGAACCGTTGCGGTTTTATGAAAGCAGAAGCGATTTATTTTTAAAAAGTTGGAAACGAGAGCCATGTGTCGGCTCGGCCTGTCTCGGAGCTGGCATAGAGCGGAGTCTGGCTGCAATTATGCTGCTCGTCCATACACAAAGTTAGTAAACAACACACCGCTCCCTAATACACAGGAGAACGCAGCCGAGAACGCGGGGCTGGGTTGAACCCCGCTTTGTTGTGTTTTCGTGCGGGGGGGGGGGGGGGCTTGGAATTGCCTTGGAAGGGCCTGGAACCGGGCCGGGGGGGGGGGGATGCAGAAGTAGACCAGGGCAAGGGGGACCGTTTCCCTCTGGAATTAAAGCCCCATTCGTTGAGGAATTAATGAGGGCAGGGGGACAGGAGAAAATGCGGCAAAAAGACTTACAAAAAAAAAGAATGAAAAAGGGAAACAAGCCCCAAGCACCTACCGCCAGGCCGCCGCCTCCCGGGCCAGATCTGCGGGATAAGCCCAAATCCAGAGCAGGGCAGAGACCTGGGCCACTGGAGCCCCCGAAGCCAGTTTGCAGCGCGGGCCGATGGAAAACGCCTCGGATGCAGGGTAATTTGGGGGGTATGTTGCTTTAATGCGTCCTCTCGCTCTCCCGAAAGCGGAAACTGCTGCTGTTGCGGGGGGGGGGGGTTTGGTGTCGGATCCCGGATTTTTCCACGGCGGAGCTGGACGCTGCGTTCTGGGGCCGGCTGCGGTTGTGATTATTTTACGATTTTGCTCCGGTGCCAGGGTCCCCTACCTGCCTGCGCGGAGTCAATCCAGTCAGTTAGCGCGCCCGGGGGGCTGGAGCCTCCAGCAGCACCGATTTATGGCCGGGGGACGCGCCTCGCTCCCCCCCAATGGAGCCGGGGCCATGCCACAGAACATGGATGAGAGCGAAGCGGAATCGAATCCCCCCCCGCCATTGCCGCTGCCTTTGCTGGGGCCGGGGGGGGGGCAGGTTTATACCGGGGGCCCGGTGCAAAGCTGAGCGGGGCTTTTCCTTCATTGCCACCTCCCCGCTAACACCCAGAGCTGCCCCAGCCCAGCTCTGGCTCCCCGGGCCGGGCGCTGGGCACGGGACTTACCTGGCGGGGTTTGGGTTTTCTGATGCCGCGTTGCATGGTCCCCCTTCCCCGGGAGAGAAGCGGAGCCGCCCGCTTCTGGGCCCGGCTGCGCGGACAAGCGGGGCTCCCTTTTCTTCCTGCTCGTCTGCCTTGGCGAATGCAAAGCGGGAGGCTGTTGCGTGCATGGCCCCGGCTACATGGCCCTCGGCGGCCCAGGCCCGGAGCTGGCGCCCTGGCTCTCGGAGCGGTCGGGATCCAGACAAAGTAACGTCCTCGCTGCAGCTGCAAAAGCCAACCGGGCTGGGGGGAGGGGAGAGGAAATCCCTACATTGCACCGCTCAAAACAAGAGGAGGAAACAGAGATTTGCTGCTCGGGCTTTTGCACACACCAAAAGAAGAAGCGAAGGCGGCAGCCGGGACCCCCCCGCGCGCCCGGCTCTGCACAGTCCTCGGGGCAGGCGGGCGCAGGCTTGGCACCGGCAGCTCTTTCCCTGCTCTCGGGGGGCTGCTGGTTTTTCACCGGCCTTCCCTCGCAGCGATCTCCGGCGGGCTTGGAGCCTCCGCTTTCTTAAAGGCGCCGGGCTCGCCTCAGCCTCCCGGGGCTGCTTTTGTCTGCTTCTCCTGGCAGGTCACCGCGGAGGCCACGGACCTCTCTGGGGCAGGGGACCCCCGGCCGCCGGAGCCAGCCCTCCAGGGTCTCCCTCTCCCCTCCCTGGACTGTGGGCAGCTGGTCCTGTAGCACCTAGAGGCCCCGGCCAGATCGGGTGGTGCTGGGCGCTGCACATACATGGAGCCAGATACAACACCCCCACTCCCACCACTTAGCTATGCCCCTGTGTAGACCCAGCCAGGCCCAGGGAAGAGTGCTTCGGTCACATCTGCACCAGCAGGAAAACCGCCTTTGGTGGGTGCAGGATGTGACTACACTGGGGAGCTCTGTGGCAGGCAGCCCCTGCCCACAAAGGCTTAAAGCCCCATCCTGCCATAGGTTCAGTGACCCAGGGCCCTCCATTAAACCCCTGGAGGCCCACGAGTCATTTGCAGGATCAGGGCCTAGACAAGGCAGGTACATGGTGGGAGATGGGCAGCATTAACCCCTTGAGTGGATGGGCAGTCTAGGTGCAGGGAGACTAAGGGACTTGCCCAAATGCACACAAGGAGTCTGTGGCAGAGCCAAGATTCCAACTGAGTCCCAGATTGGTGCCTTCCCCGCAGGCGCCACAGCCTTCCTCTCCCTCCTGCTTGTACAGAGACCAAGTAGCGCTGCAGAGGACCCCTCTGTGCAACCTCAACAGTGCAACCTTTATCCCTGTTTCTGTGGAACTCCCTGCTAGACACCTGGGCCAGTTTGATTGTTTATTTATCAAGTGCCAGCCCTACACTGGGTGCGGTCAGAGACACAAGTAAACACATTGAAAAGACAGACAAGGTCATACAGGGAATCTTTAGGTGCCAATCCTGCAAACAGACCCACGAGGGCAGCCCCCTGTGCCTACATAGATGCATCTGGCAGTTTATTAATTTGTTATAAGTAATTATATTACAATTCTATTCTATTCTATTTATTATATATTAATTAATTATTGGGCAGATTAAATATATTTTCCTTTTGTGGCATCACAGAAAAAGTGAGATCTGGATTCTGATTTCACTTACACTGTTGTAAACAAGGAGTAACTTGAAGACAGTGAAGTGAGACTGGTGTGAAAGCAGCTTGCGATAAGAGTCAGGCCCTAAGTCTTTCGGGGGGTGGTTTATTGTCACTGCAGGGACAGGGAGAGACATTTAGTTAGAGTGCAATCGCTTTGGGGCAGAGACCTCCTCTTTGTACTCCCTTGTAAAGCATCCAGCGCACAGGCCGAGCTCTAGAAATAACAATACGCACAACAAAACCTTTCTAATTCTCACTTGGCTAATTCACAAGCCCCAGTGAATTCTCACAAAACATCCCAGCCAGTCACCCTGCTTCTCAGCAAGGATTGCACAGAGTTAGTCCAAGTCACCAGGAAAGGATCCAGAGCAGAATCAAATGTCCCCGTCTCATAACTCCAAGCATTTGATCTGACTCGCTAGCCCTTTCCTCTTCACAGTAGTGAGGCCTGGGGTATTCCTCAGCGTGCGTGACTTTGAGTCTGAGCTTGGGAGGCAGTATCCTGGGTTATTTTATGTAGGCTTTTTAAATTATTCCCATTGTGCTTACTTGCTAATTTGCAAAGCTGCTGGTCTGCAACACTGAATGAGTTTCTGCTCTGGATGTTTCATCAGTTTTCCACCACCAGGGTTTCGTCTCTTTCAAAGGTGATAGGAAACGTCTCGGTCCCCCCGGGACTCACCGGAGCCCTGGCCATTATTATAAAAAGGGAGGGTTAGAAGAAAAGCTGCATGCCTTCCGTAAAGGTGTCATAGAAAGGGAAAGCTGAGGAAATTTAAACTCAGGGCCAGAGGGGTGGGGTAGAAGAGAGCAAGAATGCCAAGGTGCAAGCTTCATGTGCCTCTCCAAAAACCAATGAGTCGTCTAAGCCAATAGTGCAAGGCCCAACCCAGCCAGGGGTCTGATAAGCAAGCAGCCTCTCATTTGCACAGTGCCTGGAAGGGAAGGGCAGGTCTCCTGGCGTTCACGCTTCCCACTAATTTCAGATTCACAGAATGAATGAGTTTTATCTCTGTGCCCAGGGCTATGCATGATCAAGGGCCGTATTGACCCTCAATGGGACTGGAGGCCATGGTGAGTCCTAAGCACAATGCTGCTCCCTCGGGCCGTTGAGCAGGTGATTAGAGTGACAGTAACCAGGTGCAAGTAATCAGATTAGTATTCAAAATATGTAACCCTGTGACACACTCTGATCCCTTCCCCCACCAAAGGGGAGTGTGGATTCCTCTCCATGCCTCTGTCCTGCCCCACACCAAGGGGGTCTGTGGTCATCAGGGCAGTCTCACTGTGCATCATGGATGTGTCACGCCTTCAAGGCCCTGCGCATCTCCCCCCAGCCAACATTTCAGACCTCACCTTCAATCGCATCCCCTCCACCACCCTGTCATGCCCATCTCTGTGTTTTCCTCAAGGCAGCCCCCTGTGCATGGAATGGCCACTTTCTAGTGTAGCAAAGTTATCTATCTACCTGTCTATCTCAGGGGTTCTCAAACTGGCGGTCAGGACCCCACAGGGGGTCGTGAGGTTATTACATGGGGGTTCACGAGCTGCCAGCCTCCACCCCAAACCCCACTTTGCCCCCAGCATTTATAATGGTGTTAAATATATCAAAACGTGTTTTTAATTTATAAGGGGGGTCGCACTCAGAGGCTTTCTGTGTGAAAGGGGTACCAGTGCAAAAGTTTGAGAACCACTGATCTATGTATCGATCTAGCCCCACTACACATACATACATACACCGTGTAGCTCTATACATGTACAGTACTACATCCAAGCCACGTATCTTCTGCCATCTCTCAGGTGCAGGGTGGGCGTGAAGTGGACAAAACAGCCCCACATTTGAAGGAGGGGAGTTTGAGTCAAGGACACCGGGGACCTGCTGCAGAATCTTTGACGTCCATGCTGAAGAGATGGCCCTGGTTGTAAGGCCTTGCCCCAGCACCTTCACTGAGTGAGCTGTGTGCTCCTTCATATACTCCCTGAAGAAAGAAGGAGGGGTGAGCAGACCCTAGGTTTGGACCTATGGTTCTAGAGAATCTGGTATGCTGGTGCTCATCTGACTAAGCCATCCTCTCTAGGATGCATTTTCCATCCGGACTTAAAAAGGCTGACAAAGATCAGGAGGGAGCACACGAGGAGCAATAGAAGACGCATGTTCTGGTGTTGAAAGCACATGGCTGGGAGTCAGGAGGGCTGGTTTCTAATCCTGGATATACACCTTTCTCAGCTATGGTGATATCCCAAGTGGGGACACACAAGAGACATGGAGAGGATTATTTCCTTTCTTTCCAGGGAGGTGATGTCTCTCATTATGCAGCTCAGAGTTGCAATGGCCTAGTTGTTTTGTTGACACATCACATTGCAAAGACATGTCTAATTTGCTGTCCACTTTCACCCCAAGGTCTCTCTCTTTCTCAGTTTCCCCCTCTCATGTACACATGCATCTAAGGCATCAGGTGCAATCCAATGCATTCCAAAGGCCAATGAAAGACTCACCCTGGTAGCTATGATTGAGTAGATCCAGGAAAGCTGCATGAAACTCATGAAAGGCAAGAGAACACCCCCCCCCCCCCTCCATTACCTTCTACAGTTCAAACACTGTGCGAGAAAGTGAGATATGTATATATGATTATGAATGCTCTGCCACATTGCATTTAGTTTACTGGTTAGCCCTGGGAGGGGCTGCAGGAAAGCAACCCACAACTGTTGCATGTGGTGTGTGCACTGACAATCCAGTGTGTTGTACATAATGCAAGTGACCTGTCACTTAGCCATCTCTGTAACAGCAAAACGTCCCTGCTGCTGCTGCAAATACTTACATAGAAGTGAAGGGGAATTTTTCTCTTGACCAACTTTGGATCAGGCTCCCAATCTCCTAACTGTCCATAAACATTTCCAGTTGGCTGTCTGCTTCCCATGGCTTGTAGCATCCATTCTGGCAGGGTCTGTGGTTTGGTGTGTGGGTATTTTTCTTTTGGGGCGAGGTGAAGGGGAGAGACACAGCTCAACCGCTCAGGCTGTAGTCCTGAGAAAAAAGGAACCAACTTAACTCCTATGAGCCCTTTCTATTGTATCAGATGTGTTAATAATCGGTTTTGCTAATGCAATTGCTACTATGATGCGAAAATCCTACTGGAAAATGTATTAGAGCAATTATCCTTCTTACTGCCGCAGCCTGGTGTAGTATTAATATTCAATTTTGATGTGGAAGTCCTATTATGTTAATGACTTTTGTGACAAAAGTCGTTAACGTGAGACTTTTTCTATGGTGCAGCATTAGCCGGGGTTGAATACG